ACCATCTTAGTTTATTATGTATATACATTAAAAACGGTATACTTCAATGAAAAAAATGTGTAGTGAGCCAGCCTCTGCTTACACTGCATTGCGACAGTCCATAATCTCGTAAATTTCAACAAAGCTCTGCATGGGCGCGTTTCACAATATCTTTCAGAAGATTGCTATATTTTTTGGGTGAATTCAAATATTCATATATCAAAACTTGTCAGAATGATTCATTATTTTCAGATGCAACAGAATAAATAATGCAACATTTTTCAGAATTTTTCAAACCTAAAAGTTGCATTAGTCTGTGGCCCTGAACTGACTGACTGTGACAATTAAAAATTCAATTTAAATCACAAATTTACTGGAAACTGAATTATCGAACAAATTCCAAAATTAAATACATTTTCCCATGGATCAGAACTATTATGTGACATCATCCAGATAAAACAAATGAAAAGAATGCATTCGTTAATTTCATTATAACTTTTTTTGGATTCATTTACATTTGTTACTTAGTCTCTTCAGAGATTTGGATACATCCATATCTCTGAAAATCAAATTTTCAAATGAAAATTGATTTGTTACAAAACACGCGTGTCTAATGGGCTTATTCATGTAATCCAATATAAGTGGAAACTTCTTCCCTTCCTCAAAGCAGCGATAATTAATTTTACAGGTGCAATTCCACATTCATGTCCTAGTGAGTGCACAGGGATAAAAAAAAACAAAGGTTTCGTCTTTTGTGTATTGGTTGTAGATTATACACTATGTGTTGTTCATATTCCCTGGAGGCACATTTAAAGTCCCATCTTGCTTAACCCACTTCCCGTCCGGTCCATGTACATAAATGGCTGGAGCGGGTGGACATTTCTAAACGTCCCCCCCGCATCCATTGCCTGTGGAGGCAATCTCCCTGGGAGCGAGCGTCACCGCGATCGGTGCCCGCTGTGTCCTCTGGAAAGTCTGGAGAGAAGAAATGACAGTGACATTGAGCCAGGAGCAGGTGTGGGTTGCGCTGTGCTCTCCCTCCTCCTGTCAGAACAACGCTCCTTTAAACAGAAAATGACATGGGAACGCCCTTACATCGAACTGCGCATGGACTGTACACGCCCCCTAAACACGTTGATGGGAGCAGCCCTTGGAGGAGATAGTGGGCAGGTGATCAAGTCCTGCACAGTCCGATCTATAAGAGCAATGCTCTGTTATCTACTGTATGAAGGATCACGGGGGGGGGGGGGGGGAAATGTACTGGGAACGCAATGGGGATCCCAACTATGCTTGGCATAAAAGGGTTGTGTAGGAGAGGGAATGGGGAGCTATTTGTGCTGGGATGGGATCTGTGTTAGGAGGGGGCATGTGGGGGAGGGGGATTGGGCTAAGAGGAGAGATTTGGGGGGAGGTTGTGCTAGGAGGGGTAGGTGGATTTGGGCTAACGGGGGAGATTGGGGGATCTGGGGGAAAGAATTTGTGTTGGGACAGGAGCAGTATCCACCACACATGCATATTCCTTGTACAGAATGGGTAAAGAAGAAATCCCGCAATAAGCAAACTACTAAAAAAAATTTAAGGAGCCAAAAAAGTACTAAAAATGTGATAAGAATTGCTAAGGGTTATTTATGCATCAATATACATGTTCTCATTACAGCATAATAAGAAATGGTGGGTGGGAAACATGGGGTTAAAGATTAGGAAATGTATTCATGTTTTGACAAGTTATACTCAAAATCATACTGCAAGCACTGTTAAAATGCAAACCAAAACAGTAAAGAGAATTTTGTCGGCAAACATATAAGCATTTCCTATTTCTTTCTACTAAAATATCTATTAACTTCAGAGTAAGCCATTGTTTGTGGCGAAACGTGTTGGCAGACATGTCTAGGTCCATGGCACATCATCCCATCCTTTACTAAGAATGGATATTTTTTCTGTAAGGGCTCATGTACATTGCAGCTGATAACCTGACGTTCAGGAGCTTTTCTGCGTTTTTTTTTCAGCAGCCCCTGAACTCTCCCTAATGTTTTCCTATGTGTCCATGTACACATAGTCGTTTACAGTCGTTTACAGGCAGTTGAGTTAACAGTCATTTTTTTGAACGAACCAAACTTGCGTTCAGTAGTAGATTTAATCAGTGTTTCAAACGCCAAACACTTGTGAACGTGTGTAAACGCCGCTAACCGCGTTTATGAGCGTGTACGTTTAGAACCGTTTTTTAACTGTTCTATGTCCAGAGCCTTTTTTCATCATCAGAAATGCATGCAAAGTGTTTTCCATGTATTCAAATGGACCCGGTACACCAGTGCAGTCAGTTCCAAGTTTTGCGTGAAAGAAAAAATGGTAGAACGTGCCGCATTATACTCATGATGGGATCAGGGGCGGACTGACAACTCATGGGGCCCCTGGGCAATAAGGGATCATGGGGCCCCTGTCTCTCGCCCACACTCAAACCACACCTAAAAAAGCCTATGAATGGTACCAGGGGCTTCTCATGGGGCCCCTTACTGACCCCGGGCCCTCGGGCAGTGCCAGAGTTCCCAAATAGTCAGTCCGCCCCTGGATGGGATCCATAGTGAATACAACCAGAAAAGACAGGTCATCTCAACACATACTGCTCTCTCTGCTTCTGCTCTCTCTATTTCTCTCAAAATGTCTGAAATAGTTAATTTTTTACTGTTCTTCAGTGCATTCTAGACATTTTGGAAGGTCTCCTGAGATTATCTTTATTAAACGCTTCTAAACGCAAATGCTCATAAATGCGCATAAACGTGGTATGCAAACGCGGTTAAACAGATGTTTTTTAACCTACGTTTTCCAGTAGTCAGTTTCCATCGTTCAGAAGTGTTTTCCAAACGTCCCGTGTACATGAGCCTAAGAGTCATGTTTTCTGCAACTGAGTGCTCTCAGTTGCATTCCTGTTACAATATTATTGCACACTTGTACCTCTAAAGTAAATAAAGACTTCATACCAGCTGCTTCATTCTGAATTTACCTTAACAATTGGATGTCTGCTACAATCTCTGGCTGTGTATATCTGCACTGATTAGATTGCATAGCAGGGGGCGCTAACTATGTGGGAAGGTGTTTATGACATCACACAAGGGGGAAATAACTTTTAAGACAATGCAATGTGGTACTGCAAAACGAGATCTCAGGATATGCCATTAAATTGTTTTGCCATTAAATACATTTGCACAAAGATGAAGACTTTAGTTTTATTATGGGTTCTTTTGCCTTCCTCTGCATCAACTCTGGGTATAGGATCATAACTTTTTTTTTTTTTAATGGTTGAACCGGATGGACTTTTGTCTTTTTTCATCCAGACTAACTATATAACAATTTTTTATGTTACTTTTTTTAATTTTAGTAAACTTTTCTATAGCTTTAGATCTTTTGTAGCTGCTATTTTCACTGGTAAATTCAGGTCTGTTACCGCTGGATTAAAAAAAAATGGTGTCGCATCCAAAACTACATAAATCCTTTTTTTTTTTAAATTGAAGTAAAACAAAATGTATCATACATGCAACATAGGTGATGCCAGATGCAATATGTACAATATGTGGAGCAAAACATGACAGAATATGGTGCAGCTGAAGCTGTCCATGAGAATCATAGTTTTCTGTAACACAGCATCTTAAAAGCATCTCCCAAGCATATCATTCAATGGATTAAATGGAAATTCCATTGAAAAGGAGATCCCTCTCCCTGCATGTTTATTTTGCTGCATTTGCACATGTCCCCCATGCCAGGGTCAAGCTCTGTATGCCTTTTGTTTAACAATTCCTTGCCTGTCAGCCTTCAAAATGTCCAGAAATGATCTTCAAAGGCTCTCACCCCGTAGACTTTAATAGGGGTTTGAATTTAAATTTGCAAATTTTGGACTGAGTTCAAGAAACATCACATGAACCGAACATTTGCTCATCCCCAGGATAAGACTTGATAGCTGTTTAAAGGAAGTAATATGGCTAATGTTTCAACTAAAGAATATGTTCCTAAAGCAGGGGCGGACTGACCATTTGGAAACTCGGGCACTGCCCGAGGGCCCGGGGTCAGTAGGGGGCCCCATGAGATGCCCCGGTACCTTTTTCATAGGCTTTTTTGAGTTTGGGCAAGGACACAGGGGCCCCATGATCCCCTATGGCCCGGGGGCCCCATGAGTTGTCAGTCCGCCCCTGTCCTAAAGATAAACTTTATGTAATAAGTATGACAAACTATTATGAAATATGTCTTTCCATTTAAAATTGCTTTTACATGCATTTTTGGTAGCATATTGTTTAATAAAGGGCTATATGCATGTCATGTACAGTGATGATTGATCCATTTAATCATCTGTGAAAAGTGCCGTTTTGGAAATTTTAGCATTAGTGGAATACCTTTATTAGATGCAATTAAATATGTTTTTCTGTGAAAATTGTGCAAACATTTAGTTCAAATTTTAATAGCCATAATGCATCATGAATTTAGGTAAAAATTAAAGGTGTACTCCAGTCACATAAGAAGGCTGTGAGAGGCACACAGGTGACATGTTGAACTGCCCTACTAAAACTCACTAACGACCTACTAACTGCTAAATCCAATGGCCATTACTTCATACAAATTCTCTTAGACCTGTCTGCTGCTTTCAACACAGTTGACCACCCGCTCCTCCTCAATAAACTCCACTTCCTTGTCCTTTGTGACTCTGCTCTTTCCTGATTCTCCTCTTACCTATGTCAGAGCACTTTCAACATCACATACAACATCATCTCCTCCACTCCTCTTCCCCTTTAAGTTGGGGTACCCTAAGGCTGCATCCTTGGGCCCCTCTTACTCTCTCTCTCTCTACACCTCTTCCCTGGGCCAGTTAATAACCACCCACAGCTTCCAATACCACCTCTACACCGACAACAGCCATATCTAGCTCTCTACTCCCAAGCTCACCCCCTAGACCACCTCATGGATCACAGGATCCTCCCCTTCTTCCAGTGCCCCCTCTTATCTCCTGAAAAGACATATAGTGCAGCAACACTCTGCGCATGCTCAGTTTAGTGTGCATTGCTACAGAGTTTTTTTTTTTTTCATGGGAGAGTGCATGTGATCAGCACAGGGCCAATCAGCACTGTCCAGACAGAGGACAGGGGTTCTGCATCCTCTTAGAGCAGAAAGAAAACTCCTCCTACAAGCTTTAATCAGTGCTCTGCTCAACACTGGTAGAAGCCACAAGACTGCTCTAACTGTAGATGATAAAAAGGATTTAGCATTTTCTATGTTTTGTGTACTGTTGGAGACCAAATATAATGAATGCATTATATGCATCCTTGGGCCCCTCTTACTCTCTTTCTCTCTACACCTCTTCCCTGGGCCAGTTAATAACCACCCACAGCTTCCAATACCACCTCTACACCGACAACAGCCATATCTAGCTCTCTACTCCCAAGCTCACCCCCTAGACCACCTCATGGATCACAAATTTACTGTGCGACATATCAGTATGGATGATACACTACTTCCTCAAACTCAATCTTTCTTGTATCACCCCTCATGACTTTACCATTGAGAGCAACAGTCCAACCATTGGTCCCTCTGCACACACCAGGGTGCTAAGTGTAATCCTAGACTTTGACCTCTCCACTGGACCCCACATCCAATCACTGACTGAATCTTGCCATCTTAACCTCCACAAACGTTTCCAGAATTCACCCCTTCCTGACCAACAACACCACAAAACAACTTATTTGCTCCTTGGTTATATCCTGCCTTGACTACTGCAACTCCCTTCTCACTTGCCTACCTTTACACAGGCTATCCCCCCTTCAGTCTATTATGAATGCTACTGCTATAGTTAAACAACTTACTAACCGTTCCATGACTGCTGCCCCTCTTTGCCAATCCCTTCACTGGCTTCCACTAGCTCAACATATACAATTCAAAAACCTATCCACAATGTACAAAGCCATCCACAACACTGCCCCCAGCTACATCACCAACCTCATTTGCAGATATCGCACAAATCATCCTCCCAGGATATCTTGCTCTCTAGCTCCCTTGTTACCTCCTCTGGTACTCACTTACAGGACTTTTCCAGAACCTCTCCCATCCTCTGGAATTCTCTACCCCAGTATGTCCAGTCAGCAACTACTCTGTCCGCCTTTAGATGATCCTTTTTAGAATGTCATCTCCATGAGCATGGCCCTCCTATTCCTTCTATATTGAACTGTGTTGTAATTGTACTGTGCCACTTTATATAGTAAAGTGCTGTGCGAATGGTTGGCGCCATTTAAGTCCTGTATAATTATAACATTAATAATAATCTTGCCCAAGGTTTCTGTTTTCCATTCAGTCATTGCTGTAGTGCCATAAGCCACTCAAGTGCCTAAAATCCATTTTTTTCCAGGCATCTGGTTTCTCATGTTCTGTCATTTCCACTTGCTAATCCAAGTGCTATAAGGCCAGATGTTGCCAGTCCCTTTGACTATGAGCTTCACCTCTTAGCTTTCACTAAAACAGGTGTTCCTAATGGAAGACTTCTCTCTATTCCTGCTCTTGATTTCCCATTACTTTTTATCTCAGTGACAGTTGTCACCAGGACAAATGGAAAGATAGAGGGATCTCTCCTCAGTGAGAATACAGATAGAAATAGAAAATTTGATGTATTCAATGTGATAACTTTTATAGCATAGAGCTTTGGAGGATGCTAGAACTTTCAAGAAAAATAATTTCCTGGGGTTAGCATCCCAAACAATATCTTACCAAAAGGAAACAAAAAATAAAGATTTTTTTTTAGGAGCCATTTCCCAGGATTAATTAATTAATTCACAATTCATTGTACACAGATATCTTTATTACAAACATTAAAGTGTTACTAAACCCACAACTGTAAAATCAGTCTGTATATGCAGTAAAGCAGGCTTGTTACACTCACTGTGGAACCTAAGGGGTTAATCCTCTGCATTGTGTAAAATGCTGTTTGATCCTGACTTCTCTGATCCTCCCCTTCTTCCAGTGCCCCCTCTTATCTCCTGAAAACACATATCGTGCGGCGACACTCTGCACATGTTCAGTTTAGTGCGCATTGCTAGAGAGGTTTTTTTTCATGGGAGAGAGCATGTGATCAGCACAGGGCCAATCAGCACTGTCCAGACAGAGGTCAGGGGTTCTGCATCCTCCTAGAGCAGAAAGAAAACTCCTCCTAGAAACTTTAACCAGTGCTCTGCTGAACACTGGTAGAAGCCACAAGACTGCTCTAACTGTAGATGATAAAAAGGATTTCGCATTTTCTATGTTTTGTGTACTGTGGGAGACCAAATATAATGAATGCAGGGTTCTGGGTTTATAAAACTTTAACTGAAGCTTTGCAACTTCCAAGTCACATGACTGCTGATGAGAAAAGGTATTTGGCAGTTTATATTTACTAAAATAATTGCATTTCCATGTTCTGTGTACTGTAGAGACCAGATATAGTGAATGCAGGCTCCTGGGTTTAGTCACACTTTAAAGAGTAGTTCCACTTTTGTTGAAAAAAACACATTCCCCTCTGGGTGATCTATGCACATTGCAAGGATTTTTACAAATGTTGTTTCAGATTCCTACCTTTTGTTATTCAGAAGAAATAGCTGTTTGTTGGTCTGTGTCCATGTGCAGAGTGTATCTGTATGGGAGTGGTTTTATAATTATCTAGCAGCTGCTGCACATGCACAGCTCTAATGAATACATTGGCAGGGTCTGCATCCCTGTAAACGTGCTCTCCATTTGGGAGTATCTCACCAAAAATGACATTTTTGGTCCCCGGGATGGCCAAAATCTGATACGTATCTGAGTGCAGACTTTTGGGAAATCAGTAAGCCAATCACACCAGAAGGAAATGACATATCTGGGGGGCGCTCTGTACACCATCTGTGTACAGAACGCCTCCAGGTAGCCATATTGCATTGCATCTTACAAAAAATTTCAGTGCTGCATATTGAAAAGGAAGGGTCATTTTTAATAAATTAAATTACAATATAACTTGTGTTGCAATTGTATACACTATATTATTTGTTTTAATTTCTCTTTTTTTTCCCATTAAAATGGAGTTACCCTTTAAAAAAAAATTATCGTTTTACATTAAAACCATACACCAATGTGTATTGTCTCCTGACTCAAGTGTTATGCAATAGACGCTCATCACTCAACACTTTTTGCAGACGTTACACTTCTTTAGGACTACTATTAGATGTTAGAATATACCTTGAGAGACAGAAAAATATCTATAAAAGAAACAAGATTGTGAAGAATTACATGTGAATCCAAAAGCTATATTCTTGTAAAGAAAAAAAATACAAAACAGAAAAAGTAAACCTAAAAAAACACACAAAGTGAACCACACTAATAACAACCCATGCTGTCCACCATAGTACTGGGGAAAAAAATATTCATACATGCAAACAACAACATATATTACCTAAAAACACAGGGGGGGGGGGGGGGGGGGGGGGGGATTTACTAAAATTGCTACACTCAGAATCTGGTGCAGCAGTGCATAGTAACCAATCAGCTTCCAATTTTAATTGTTAAAGCTTAATTGAACAAGCTGAAGTTGGAAGCTGATTGGTTACTATACGCAGCTGCACCAGATTCTGAGTGCATCTGTTTTAGTAAATCTCCCCCACACTGACTATGGGTCAAACATCTCCATCGTCCTGGACTATGGAGAAGTATCAAAGGGGCCAGGGGAGGGGGCACCCACATGTTCTGAAATCATTCATTGATAATATATATTTATTTATTTATTTCAGGTACTTATATAGCACCGTCAATTTATGCAGCGCTTTACATATATATATTGTACATTCACATCAGTCCCTAACCCTCAAGCGGCATACAATCTAAAGTCCCTAACTTGCATTCATACATACACATACTAGGGCCAATTTAGACAGGATCCAATTCACCTACCAGCATGTCTTTGGAGTGTGGGAGGCAGGGGCGGACTGACCATTTGGAAACATGGGCACTGCCCGAGGGCCCGGGGTCAGTAGGGGGCCCCATGAGCCCCTGGTACCTTTTTCATAGGCTTTTTTGAGTTTGGGCAAGCACACAGGGGCCCCATGATCCCCTATTGCCCGGGGGCCCCATGAGTTGTCAGTCCGCCCCTGGTGGGACGAATATATATATTTTTATTTTATTGCCAATAAAATAATTCACTTGACTAAAGAGTCTTAAGATCATACACCAATAAAGATTTAATTCCAAAAAGATGTCCTCCAAAGATATTATGCACATATTAAAAACTAATTAGCAAAAAAACCCAAACAAGGAGATAAGGAGAGAAGCACCAGCAAAAATATCCTCCAATGATTACACATACTGTACATACAAGGGGCAGGGTAGTTCTCACATTTTGGTAGTATCTCGGCTCATCCCTACACAGCTTGCACTGGTCCAAAAAAAACAGCAAGGAAGTGCTACTCCCCTCCTAAATACCCCTGGGCTTCCCGAAGACCACATTCAGTCGCTTTTTGCTATCCTGTACTGTGTCCCCTCCCACGTGATGCTATGGATCACACCCAGCATCATCTGGGGCAGGTTTTGATCTGCCCTCCTGTTTGCACTCCACTCCACGTTGGGACGCATATGACAGACAGGTGTTCATTCAAGCGGTATTTAGGAGGGGGATAACACATTCTTTTTGTTTTTATTGGACCAGTGCAAGTTGTATGCAGTTCATCCACAGACTGTATGTATTTTAATGTAATACAGGCATACCTCGGTTTACGAATTTAATGAGTTCTGCGGGACTTTTCGTCTTGCAAAAAAATTGTAAACCGAAACGCGGTTTCCCATAGGAATGCATTGAAAACCAATTAATCCGTTACGGAGGTCAGAAAAAAGTTTAAAAAAAGTCTTTTATCTGTTCAAAACTCTTTATAAAGTGCACTTTAAAGGCATAAATACAGTACGGGGACATGATTAAAAATTAATTCGTAAATGCGTTGAAAACCAATTAATCCATTCCGGAGGTCAGAAAAAGTAAAAAAAAGTCTGATCTGTTCAAAACTCTTTATAAAGTGCACTTTAAAGGCATAAATACTGTACAGGGACATGATTAAAAATTAATTCGTAAATGCGTTGAAAACCAATTAATCCATTCCGGAGGTCAGAAAAAGTAAAAAAAAGTCTGATCTGTTCAAAACTCTTTATAAAGTGCACTTATAAAGGCATAAATACTGCACAGGGACCAGGGGCGGACTGACAACTCATGGGGCCCCCGGGCAATAGGGGATCATGGGGCCCCTGTGTCCTCGCCCACACTCATAAAAGCCTATGAAAAGGTACCAGGGACAACTCATGGGGCCCCCTACTGACCCCAGGCCCTTGGGCAGTGCCCGAGTGCTTGAATGGTCAGTCCTCCCCTGACAGGGACATGATTATAAAAATATGTGTAAATGCATTGAAAACCAATTAATCCGTTCCAGAGGTCAGAAAAAAGTAAAAAAAAGTCTTACCTGTTCAAAACTCTTTATAAAGTGCACTTAAAAAAAAAAAAAAAAAAAATTGGTAACTGCATTAAAAACCAATTAATCCGTTCTTATTGCAATTGCGAGGCATTATTTTCAATGAATTTTCATTTGTAAACTGAAAATTACAATGTATGTCTATATATGTTGTTGTTTGCATGTTTGAATACATTTTTTCCCAGCACTATGGCGGACAGCATGGGTTATTATTAGTATGATTCACTTGGTGTGGGTTATTTTAAGATTATCTTTTGTATTTTGCATTTTTTTTTTTTTTTCTTTAACAAGAATACTGTATATTTTGGATTCAAACGTAATTCTTTACACTCTCATTTCTTTTATAGATGTTATTCTGTATCTCAAAGTATATTTTAACGTACTAGCAGTCCTGAAGAAGAAGAAGGTCCAAGAAATGCGTTCACTGATAGAGTTGAGCTTGTTGTTCGAGACGAACATAGGTTCGAATCGAACATCAGCTATTCGTGTTTTTAATAAAGAACTTGTCAAAGACTGCCTTCCGTCATATTTTTACACTACACTTTTTTTTTACCATGTACCCCATATTCATGGGGGGCCACAGATTCCAATAAGTCCCCCACCTGCAGACCCCCACAGCCTGGCTAGTGGTTGAAGAGGCCCTTGTCCCCATCAACATGGGGACAAGGTGCTTTGGGGGGTGGCTTCTCCCCCGCCCCAAAGCACCCCCCCATGTTGAGGACATGTGGCCTGGTATGGTTCAGGAAGGGGTGGGTGTTCGCTCGCCCCCCCCTTTCCTGACCTGCTGGGCTGCATGCCCTAATAAGTGTCTGGTATGGATTTTGGGAGGAGGGACCCCCCAAGCCATTTTTTTTAAATTTTGGTGTGGGGGTTCCCCTCAAAATCAAAATCCAGACCCAAAGGGCTTGGTATGGATGGGGAGGGGGTACTCCACATGTTTTTTTTTTTAATTGCTGGCAATTCTTTTTACATTCAGCTGTCAGAGGGGAAATACTGCTACAGGGCGGCATGGGTGCGCGCCCTAGCTGCATCGCCATTTGCAGCCACAGCCACTGTTAGTTTACTAACAGTTCTCCTCCCTGTCAGCTTGGGCACACTGCTTTGGATGGCTATGCACAGCACAGCCATCCAACACAGTGTGATCACAGTGAAGCATACTGACACTGCCCCCTAGTAAAACACTCCCAGCACACAGTTAACCCTCATGTTAACTCCTTCCTGCCCAGTGCCATTAGTAGAGTGTCAGTGCTTTTTTTTTAGCTCTGATCACTGTATTGGTGTCACTGGGGATGTCAATGACACCAAGTCAGTTCCCCCCAGTGTCAGAATGTCCGCCGCAGTCCCGCTATAAGTCGCTGATCACCGCCATTACTAGTAAAAATAATAAATAAGAAAAAAAAATCCCAGTATATATACCGCCATTTGTAAACGCTATAACTTTCACGTAAACCAATTAATTTACATGTATTGCGATTTTTTTTAGCAAAGACATGGAGCAGCATACATATTGGCCTAAATTTATGACGAAATTAGATTTTTTAAATTTTTTTACTGAACATGTTTAACCTCCCTGGCGGTATGATTATTTCCGATTTTTGGTGCTGAAAGTGGTACATTTTTTTTGCATGGAAATATGTAGTTTTTTATTGTAGGCTGTAATTTTTAGGAATAACTCACTGAAATCTGTCCGAACAAGAGTCTAGTAAACATTCCGGATATGATAAAACTTGAAACACGAAATCATAAATTATAATTTAATAAATAATCATAAAAAATAATAATATAATAATAAATTTAATTCAATAATATAATCAAACCAAAAACACTGAAATTTGA